ACACAAAATTTCAAGATATGAATAGTAATAAAACAATACTAAATCATAATATAAAAGCTTAGAAAGGTTAGCTCTCCTACCTCTATTCTAGACTTAATCTCTTGCTCAGAATTTGTTTCTCCGAAAACCCTCCAGAACCTCTACTCCTCTTGCAACTAAAAATTTCTTCCTAACTCTTTGTTCTCTATTTCTCAAGATTTCTCACTTGATTCTTCCTCTCTTTGTGCAGAATAGCCTCCCCTTTCATGGCTATTTATAGTCTAAAAGTTTTACTATTCAACAATTTTTTAATATTATTTATTATTTTAATATTATTTTATTACATTAATATTTTAATCACTATTTAAAATAAAAAGGTAGAAAAGAGTTTGAACTCATGTTCTTGAAACCACCACAATTTTCTGCCAATTAAGCTACCAAAATTTCTTATTTAGATTTCCATATTTTATTTTTACATAAACTTATTACATTTTCCATTCACAAAGAAATTTATTACTACTATTAATAAAATTGTTATTAAAGTAAATATTTTTCATGGGTCTTGACACTCTCTAACATACAACTCATTATATTATAGGATGTTACGTATATATTTATACATTAAAAAACCACTCCCAATTTGTAATTAATATCTTTTTTAATATTCACTCGTACAATTCTAAGTTGTGAATGTACAAAATTTACTAAGTTATATGATATTGTTGAAAAACTAAGTCTGAGTATAAAAATGATATAGTTTGATATTAAAAATCTTTAAAAGTAAACACCTCAATTCATGATTTTAACTTATATAAGGTAATACGTAAATTTGGTTGATTTGTAGTAATGCTTAAAATCAAAGGTATTTTATATACCTATTGGTACATTAAAGTGTCTTTCGATGACAAAGATCTAACAAAGTATTAAATTTTGAAGAGGACAATATCTGAAGTGTTGATGGTAATAATGTTATCTTTAAGAACTTCAAATTAAAGCATTAATGTCTTTTTCGAAACAGAATGAAGGGGTTCAAGTATACGTTTACCTCTTAACGTTACTAGAAGTAATAATGTTTTTTTTCTTCTTTTTAACTTTATGAAAATAAGTATAGTATAATTGATTATTTTGTGGTTTTTTTAATAATGATTAAAGTGTAAACTAACCCCTTAGACGATTATCGAAGGAAAAACATAATCTATTATAAGTATTGCTTTTTTTGTTTTTTCTATCTAACAATTATAAATAATTATAAAATAATCAATAAATTTATTATCCTTTCTAAAATTTTCATTCTCTTTCTTTTAATTTAAATAATTTTATTTTCTACTAATTTTCGTTTTTTTTCACTTGTTTTCTTTGTCTCATTTTCGCTTTCTCTATTCTCGTCATTTCATCCAAATAGAGGATAAGCATGCGGTTCAAATAGTAAAAAAAAATGAGCAATTGAAATAATACATGAGTTAAATAAAAGATATTTTGAAATAATTTTTTTATAAAATATAAATTTAAAATAAGATTTTAGAAAATAAGTTTTTAAGTAACATCATTAAAAGGGATTTTATTCTCTATCTCAACCGCACACATTTAAATTATACCTTTTTTTTTCCTCCATCCTGTTTCAACGCAATTTCACGCTCACCAAACAAATATAGTGAAAGAGTTATAGAATAAAATTAATTTTAAATTTACATGGATAATAAATATCATATATAACAATTATTTTAAATTTACATGTATAATAATTTAATGAAAAAGAGTCCAATGAAATTATTTACACAGTGGACCAGTATACTCACCAACCTCAACTGTACGTAAGAAGAGGAAATTAATGAAGGAATGACTTTTTCAACGAACAGTGGTTTAAATTGGTCCCGCTCAAACTAGAAACAATTGGAAATTGCTTTTAGATAGTTTCCCTCAACATCATTTCTTTAAAACGACAGCAAATTTATCAACAGATTCATCTACATTTCAGTTTTTCTAACTTGAAACTGAAAATTCTACTAAAGTCTAATTTTCTTGTCGTTTCTGATGATTCTTTTGATAATATTATTATAATTTATAATTACCACTAGTTGTTTTTGCCAGTAGTCATATACTACTTTTTTTTATTAAGATTAAATAATTGAAAAATATATCTTAACTTATATTAATTTTTTTATTTATTTGATATTTTATTTTCTTGTTTTTTATTTTATTTAAAAAATATATATAAATATTTATTTTTTTATATCTATTTTATTTTTATATTATGTATCAAATCAATATAAAATATATTATGTCATCATATTATTATTCTAAATAATTTATGTATTTGTTGTTTTTTTAAAAAATCTAATAATTTTTTTCATACTCTTTCTAAAATTGAACCTTAATTTTCAGTTAACACTGACTTATATTGAAAGTTGGTAGGATTAAAATTTAAATGATGCCTTATCAACACTAATACAACGAATTATCATAAATTATCAAAACAAAAAAAATATAAATTATCTAAATGCATCCATTCAATAAAAAAGAAATTTAGACTGATCTACTCTCCAGGTAAGTAAAGGTTTAATTGTTTTTTATATTTAGAGAACTATTTAAACAATTTTTATTTACAAATTCGTCAATCACCAATCTACTTTTTTTTTTGGTTTCGATTAGTGATTATATATATTTTAACTTGGACTCACCCATTTTAACATGCCAATTTCACATGATAAACATAGCAAAAATTAAAGTCCTTTTAAAAGTATGAATTATACAAACAAATTTCAGGGTGGATTTATACATGCATATACTTAAATAACATGATTTATACTTAAATCAAATAATTTCCTTTTTCCCACTATTTCTTTTTCTTTTTACTCTTTTATTCTTTTGTCTCTAGCAATGGAAGTAACAAGAACTTTGCCCTCCAAAGCTAGGGCACAAAGCTGAAACATTAGAAGATTCATGAAACACATGCAAGAAATTTGAATATGTGAGTAATAAATGCTGTTATGGTAGATGGACCCTGTTCTTATACTTTAGACTACCCTCTTTGGAAAGCAATGCATGTGTGGTCAGTAAGTGTAACATGTACATAAGTTTAGGTCCTACTTATCCATGAGTCATAGTTATAGGTCCTACACATTCTGCAAAAATAACAGGTCGGTAGATCTACCATAAATGCTACAAAAAGTCATACATCATACTAAAATTTTGAAGAAAATAATAAATAAATTTTTTTTTTTTTCAAAATGATGAAAGGGAATTTATACGCTATTTAAACATGTCATGTAAAGAACTTTCTTTAATTATGATCATTTAACACACTGTTTAGAGATAAATCACATAATGATCTTATTTAAATTACCAACAATGCATTTATATTCATTAAAATGATATTACTCGTCTACCGACACACAGTTACCATTACACGTGGATAATACTGTGGATAATACTCATTTATAGACTAACCTATCGTTAAAATAATTAAAAATATTTTTTTTATGGAAATACAACATTTTTCTATACTTTTTCTACTACTTTTCTTTGGAATTAGTATTTTAAAATGTGAATTTTATAGTTAAAAATATGTATTCTGGAATGAGAAAGAATGAGTGAAATTTTGGAATGTTTTTGGGTTCATATTTTTCTTATGAAATCCTTTGAGTATTTTGGAGTGTATTTTGGAAAAAGTCCATTTGCCACAATGATATAAAACGGGTTGGAGATTCACATGTAATTTTTTTGTAAGAAAGAAATAGTTGAACCCTGAAAACTCAAATTGATAGGGTCATTTATTTCTAAGTTCTTCTTTCCACATCCCATTACTAACTGTACCTCTACTACGAAAGCAAATAGACTAAAATACCCTCTTTTGTTGCACCATGCATCCCATTACTAACTGTACCTCTATGACGAAAGAAAATAGACTAAAATACCCTCTTTTGTTGCAGCATGCAGTCACCTCTGTTCTTAAAGGTATTTTTGAGAAAACATGTTCTAAAAGTCATGTTTCATGTATCCATAAGCTTATTCAAAACATCTTGTTATAAAATTTTGATTCTAGAAAGTTCCTTTTAAAACTGAAAAACTTGTTCTTCAAATCCTGGTTTAGAAATTTTATTTTAGAAACTCTGTTCTAGAAGATCTGTTTTGGTTTTGGATAATTTTTAGAATTGGTAATTCAAAATTTACCTTTTATTTAAGATTAAAATAATTATTTTAAAACATGAGAGGGTGTGGGAAGAAAAAGCCTTTATTCCGCTTTACAGTATACACACTTCTCAGTTTTTCTCATGTTAGTTAAGCTCACCTTTCAATCTGAAGCCGCCCAACAACTCCACCTTTGCTTACAAAAATGGTTCATTACAGGTTTTGCAAAATGTAAATAGTATATCTTCTAGTGCTGATTAAAATCTGTTAAAATTATAAAATAAGAAATTAAATTTATAAAAACTATTTAAAAAAATAAATTAATCATAATCTTAAAATAATGTATTAAAACGTGTTAATAATTTGTAAGTTTAATTTAGTCGGATTCTATGTAAAAAAATTAATTTGTAGTATTAATAATAAAGTTCAGGTTTATCCATTATTAATTTCATTTATGTACTGAACATTAATAATTTTCACTTGTTCCAAAAAGTTCAACTATCAATTTTGAAACCAAGAGATTTTGAAATAATTTTATTTATTTATTTATTTTGTTTAATTTAAAGTATCAATTAATAAAAAAGTGTCTCTTTTTAAAGAAAAAACGTTTTATTTAATAATCTTTCCTTCTATTAGTTTTATAAATTGTCATAATATAAATTTTGTTACGATTGTAAAACTAGAAAGAAAAAAACTAAGACTAACTTTTCTTAATAAAGTGATTAAATTCAATAATAAAACAAATAATGACATTCGCATGTAGTTAGCCCTGCATCAGATGAACAAAATATATATTATCATTACCATTACCAATTAACTAATACTATGTCACAGAATAGATCAACCTAACCACGAAGAAGAATTGTTGGTAAATTTCAGGATGAACATGAAACTTTCAACATCAAACTTTTTTTATTCACTTTATAAAGCTTCATATAAAAACCATAGGAAGTGTATAAACTTCACTCTGGAATATAGAACACAAAACAAGAAACTAGCTCTCATAAATGGAGACTCCTATCCTCCTTTTATTCTCTTTACTAACATGTAGTATAGCATGGTTTCTGTCTCCCTTCAATTGATGCTGCAAAACAAAACACCAACCACCTTCAATACTTTCTTTAGAGCATATATATATATATATACCTTAAAAAAGTGAAAACAAGAGTCAACTTGAGACCTCAAAATAGTATATATACCTGTTACAGTTGGTGGAGGCGCTGATCTTGTAGGGTATTTTGACCCCACACTTCCCAGGAAGAGCCTCAGCATTAATGGGATTGATCCCACGAACTGCACCAGCAGCAGCCTTCAAGCAGCTACAAACGGCGCGACGATCAGGGGTGGTTCTGGAACTGTTCAGGATATTCTTCACACCGGAGCAGCATGCTGGCGGAACAAACCCACCCTTTTGAAGGAACCCTATGCACTGTGCTAGGTTACCTTGAACTTGGCCACACGTCATTCCCACAGCACTGTGTGAACCCACCACCACCATGAACATCACCAGCACGCATGCAAACTTAACACTGGCCATTTTCAAAGGAAAGTAGAAATGCTTCTGAAGGTGAAATGATTGATGATGATGAGTAATTAGTGAGTTTTAAGGTTTGAGGCTGTGGTGTTTATATAAGGTTTTTCTATGGAGGTTTGAGTAGGTGGTGGTTGTGAGAATTCAATGGTTGAACATCTCGAGGGACTTGGGATGCGGTATGGCATTACTCTCTGCTAACTGTTTCTGCACTATTATCCGCTGAGTGACACTTCAATATGTCTTAGACGGCACCGAATCGAATTATCTACCTAGTCATGTTACCTTAATTTCAATTATTGAAACTGAGAGAGGCTGTTCAACTCAATCCAAGTTATTATAACATATGTTTATTTTTTAGTAATTTAATTTATTTTAATTTTGATATTTATTTTATGATTATAATTTTTTAAGGTTTTCTGTTAATAATTAAATAATATATTTTAAAAAATCTTAAAAGGTAAGAAAAAAATGTTTAATGATTACAAATTTTTCTAATTAATTTCTTTTTAAAATATATGTGCCAAAATGAAGGAGCTAAGTTAGATATTGCTTAAAAAAAGCGAAAAAATTCAATCAGAAGTTTGTTTGTTTATTTATTTTCTTATCATATTGGAAAATAAGTATATTTAAACCTTATTGAACTTTAATCCAACACACTCGATTTTGTTAAGAAGAACGTTTACTTTTAGGTATAAATATTAAGAAAAAAAGGAATCTCCAAATCTCTACCGTACATGATGGCAATAGCCATCCTTATATTATACAATATGTGAAATTGGTATTTGTGATTTAGGAACTACTTATGGGTATTTACTATCTTTGAAGGAAGTTAACAACACCCAATGGACTTTTCAAATCGAAAACGAATTAATATTCACTTCAATTAAATGAAACACTTTTAATATTTTATTTTTATTTTTATGATGAGGTCACTTTTAACTTAATTAACAGTAGAAGTAGTATTCAATATAGTTTCTTTTCCTTGTATAAGAAATGAAATGGAATAAAGTAACTTTAATAGTTTTCTTTCCATTACTTTAGAATTATTTACTATAATCATTCAATTTTTTTATTTTTCATCACATTGTAATCCTTAATTTTATTAAAACTTATTTATAATTTCTTCCATTAAGTTGATATTGATATCATTTAGAAGGTGCCAAATATATAGTATAAATAATACATGTAGTAAAGAGTTGATGTTCTATTGGATAACCCAACTATGTCGGACAATATCACCTATTATTTAGTATCATGGTGTCATTCTCAAAACGGCGTAGTAATGGAATTATACATGATAACGAAGGGTTAGTGTTAGATCGGATAATTCTGGTATAGAGAAAGGGGTTAAGAAAATTCTTGTACACTTTTATGAAGCCATTGTTTAGGCAGGTTTTTAAACTGAAATGACTTTTTTCCTTCTTTAAGCATTCCTTTTAGATGAGGTGAAAATTACCAAGGCCTCAAGTCGTCGGTAAATAAACAGTAAATTACCAAGGGTCTCATTAATGAAATTTTATAGAAATCTTATATTTAAAGAAAAATAAATATGAAATCTAAGGATAATATGATATAATAGGACTAATAAAAGTTAAATTCAGAAATATAAAAATAAAATTCACAAAATATGAATGAACAAATCAATCCCATATATGAGGTTAATAATCAATTTGTTGAATAACATAGTTAATAAATTTGAAAGAAAAAGACTAAATTATTAAGAACTTTTTGTTAATGGAGAAGTTATTAAATCAAGAAACAAAAATAAAAGAGAATCCTTTTGTAAAATTAAGAATATAATTGAAAAGAAGTTGTTACAAGATAAACCCTGATACTTATTCAAATATAAGATAAAAATAATTTTTGATAAATGTGTTACTGTTAAGACAAGATCGTCTAAAAACTCTTTATTTTGAAGTTTAACAAAAATATTTAACAAAATAGTGTGTATCAAAATGATTGTCTAGGATAACGTACTAAATGATATTTATGTCTAGAGAATATCCTAAACGTAAACAATATAGTCACTAGTACAAAAACAACGTACAATATCGAATATTTTGGGTCTTTCACGTCGATTTCGAGAATGACGTCATATCGGGAGACGTTAAAAATTCGACGTTAATTTAACGTTGAATATTGTCAATATACAACGTTAATTTAACGTCGAATTTTGTCAATATACGACGTTAATCAATTTTTATTTATTTTTTTTAATTAATTGTAATTTTTTTTTACAACTCTACGAAACCTGAAAAGCAGAACTATGAACGATAAGATAGGATCAACAACAAATAACAATAACAAACAACAAACAAGTTCAATCAAACAACAACAACAAGAAAGTTCAATCAAACAACAACAAACAAGTTCAACAAAAAAAAACAACAAACAAGTTCAACAAAAAAAAAACAACAAACAAGTTCAACAAAAAAAATAACAAACAAGTTCAACAAATAAGTTCTTCAAAACGAAAACGAAAACTAACCTTCAAAAGGTGGGTTCATCGGAATAAAGTGTTGTCACCAGTGAGAGAGAAAGCAAAATGCGCTTATGAAGGACAAAAACACGAAAATAATCGGTGAAAACAAATGAAAATCATACCTTAAGTAGTTAATTAACTTTGTACCAAATGAAAGAAAGATTACGATGGTCGTCAAACTTCGTTCGAGAAAAGTTTGAGCAGAGAAGAGGGTCTCACGCGCTAAGATAAAGTGAATGAATTTTCAATCTCCCGCTCAAATTTTTATTGAATTCACTAGCTTTTTGACGTCTAATGCTGAGACATTTGACGTTTATATCCTTTTACGTCGAATTATAATTATAAACGACGTTTAATAATTGTATTTACTTACAAAATTGCCACCGGTCATTTTTAACGTTGGCTATTTAGTGGTTAGACATTCAACGCGTGACGTTATACGCTGTTTTTCTACCAGTGAGATGGTAACGGGTCATCGACAAGTGTACCGAATCGTTCAAGTAATATAAAATGAGACCAAATATCGTTGACCAAAAGACTCGTGAAATACTAAACAATTGTATGATTAACAATTCAACTAAACCAAAGAGTATAAGATTATATGCAAGTAAATAAATTGACAAAGAATTAAAGGATGAACTTTGATAGTTATAGGCACTTAGAAGATGGGAAAGGTTAGAGTTGGTATGGAGAGGCATTGCTAAGGGTAGAATTCACTGGTTTCACTCTCGTGCCCACAAAAATCATTTCTTCTCCATCAAACACTAATGTCAACCCACTACAACGCTCAAACACAATCCCTTAGGTGAAAAAAATTAGGTTTTCTCATTAAGAGCCAATCTCTTGAACATTCAACAAACAAACCTAAATTAGGATCTAGGTTTAAGACAACCACTAGTAAAAAAAAGATTTTAACTCGCGCATTTGACACCGATTTAGTTGTATCTGAAGCAAAAACTGGCAAGGTGGCATTTTTGTAATCATCGCAAATGTATATGCCTCGGTTCAAAATGAACTAATGCCTAAAACTGACGTAGTGTCATTTCTGTAATTATCGCAAAGTTATATGCTTCGGTTAAAAAAGAACCGATGAATGAAATTGGCGCGATGACATTTTTGTAATTATCGCAAAAGTCTACGACCTCGGTTGTTTAGAGAACCGAAGCATAAAATAACTGATTTTTTTTTATTTTTTTGAGAGGGTTTAGGTAGTTGTTCTCTGTAGAACCGAGGCCATAGACCCTTATTGCCTCGGATAAAAAAATAATTGAGGTAATAACATGTGTTTAGGGTTAAATTTCGAGAACAAAGACATTTTTAAATAAAAGCTTTTTTGTTTGTGGTGTTGCGTCGTTGCTCTGTGTTCTTCCATTTTCGCAGTCATCCTCTTCAACTTTTCTTGCATTATTTTAATTTTACGTTGATTAAGTGCTTAGATATGATTTTCTTTCGTTTTGACCGATTGATTTTGTGCACAGGTGCTCTTCAGCTCTTCGAATAGACGCTTTGGGATGTTCATTTCATTTCGTTTCAACCCCAAACTCACCTTCAAGGTTAGTTTCGTTTTAAGTTTTTCATGTTTCCATTTGCTTGATTGTTCTTCATACACCATACACATCAAAACATAGGTATACGTAAAACTGAGATTATGCTCAAAAAGACTCTAAAGGAAATGAAATTTTGTATGAAGAACCAAAAAATCATGAAATCCCCTCACAAATTTTTAGCTTAAAATTCAAAGTGTAACTATTTTTAATATTTTTTTAAAGATTGAAAAAAACAAAAAGAAATTCCCGGTAAATGGAAAACAACGTTTTTTTGCATTTGTTTGTGTTTCTGGGATTTTGTCGTATGATTTATTTGATACAGAAACGATAGTTTTTTTTAAAAAAATGTACTTTAGACCGCGGTTATGGTAAAAACTAAGGCAAAAAAGGGTCTATTACCTCGGTTTTGGATCCAACCGAGACAATAGACCCTTTAATTAATTAATTTTAAGGGTCTACGACCTCGGTTCAAATTAGAATCGAGGCAACAAACCCAATTTTTTATACTACTTCGGGTTTTTTGAACCAGCAAGTCCTTACTTTTTACCTTGTCTTCGGTTGCAGAACCGCTGTCATAAACCTAGAACAATTGAGGCAATATCCCTTTGTTGCACCAGTGAACTAATGGGTCATGTTTCATTATCTTATTAACATTAGGATTTGTAGGAAAATGTACATGTTTGATGGATATGATACGACTTCATTATGCTTTAAAACATGGTGTTTGATGGATATGATACGACTTCATTATGCTCTAAAGATTATATAAATGCTTCAACAAAAAGCTTTCTTAAAACATTTTAACAAATGACTCCGAGAAGTAATATACAAGTAATAGACAAAGATGTTTTCTATTAGATTGTATATATTTTTTTCAAATTCAAATTATAAAACATTGCACTAAGTAAATAAATGTTTAAATGTTTAAATGTTTACAAGTATTTCCACTCTCATACAAATTGAGCACTCTGTGTTACAAGTAGTAAGGTTTCTTAATCACTAAAAATGAAAATATAAGAACTTGTGCGTGTGTATGGGAGTTCAATGTAATT